TCGCATGGGCCCACCTCTCTAGCCTGTCAAGATGTGGAAGAAGCTAGTCAGTAGTTTGAAACCTGTGATGGTTTGAGAGGAATTGCTTTTGGGAAAGGAAATGCACTTCTGTAGACAGCTGCTTTTCTACCAATTTTCAGAGGTGCACATAGGAGATTGGCATTGAGTGAATTCTGAAAATCAGTGATTATTAGCTTGTAACTCTCATAAATAATATCTAATAAAAATTTCTAGTCAATTTTTTTTTTGAATTAGCAAAATCTGTTTTAGTTTTATAAATAGATAGCATCCTTCTATATTCTCTAACCTTAACGAGAACACCTGTGAAACACTGTCTAAATGAAATCTAGAGAGACACAATGTTAAATACTTTCGAGGGGCACACTTAGGTCTGCAGAACTAAATACAGGGAGACTGTCATAAGTAAAGGTTGAGGGTCTGTAGCCTCCTGTAGAAAAGGGAGGGTCTGCAACTTGAGTTCTGGTAAAAACTGTTCACTGGTCAAATGGGTGTTGCTGATCTGGTGGTTGGCCTTCGAGCTTTTGTGGGGCAGAAGGGTGTTTTGCATTTTATAACATCTCTATTAAATTCTTTCCCACACAGTGATAAAGGTTTTTCTCCCAAATTCAATGAGACAGATGGAGAAGTGGAGAGGAAGAGTCTGAATGGCTTGTATGTGGTTGAAAACGGGAGGCCCAGGTGAGTGGGTTTTTGGTGGTTTTTTTGCATATTCATTTCAGTGATGTAGTTTCACAGCTCTTGCAGGTCTATCAATTTTGGTACATGGTACCTGCTAGAACAAAATCAAGATAGTCTACCTTAGAGACACGAAAAATGATACATCAGGGCCAGAGAGTTCTTTCTGGAAGAAGGTTGTGGCAGAGAGGCATTAAAAGGTTAGCCGGTACTACCACAACAGAGGGTTGTGGTGACACTGGAGTCGGAGGGGGTCTAGCAGTGATAATAGTAAGGTCTGTTGTTTCAAGAAGTTTGACCAGGTGTTGGGCTCTGAAGCTTTTGTACCACTTGTGTGCTATGGTATTTCCTTTCACTGACAAATGCTGGCATAGCACTGATGGGTTACCTCACCTAAAAATAATTTCTTTTCTTTCTACCATTTGTACATAATTGAATGCTGTGTGCATCTATAGTCTTGGAAACTAGATTCCATTTTCAGACAAGATTGTGTGTACAATGAGAGTAACACTTGATCAGGAGTATCACAGGACGCGAGATACAAAATGGCTTTGTCATTTCCCAGATTTCCTTTCTCTGTGCTATCAAACACAAAAAGAGGTTGATGAAAGAGAAAACCATGCTTTGTCTCTCTTGCTCTTTAAAGCATACGGTGGCACGGAATATATGTTGCTATCCTTTCCTTTGTTGTTATTTAAGCTGCTTTAAAACTTTTTTAGAATACTTGGATCATATTTTGAATGTGGGGAAGTAAATATGTTTAATGCCACTTATTTCAGAAATCCAGTGGGAAGGACTGGCCTCACAGGCAGAGGATTATTAGGGCGCTGGGGACCAAACCATGCTGCTGATCCTGTTGTAACTAGGTAAGGGACAGGTGACCTAAAGGTGTGCCCTGCAGTAGAGCAAAAAAAACATGCATATTGCTTTTTCTGTGCATCTCTGGACAGGCTGTTACTTTTCACATACTTTTGTGTATGTTGTTCTCTGTAAGCCCATTCAGATATGGGTATTTAAATGGAGAGATATGTAGACATGTAGGACACAAATTTTGTAGTTTTTTAGTCTTTGTCTCTGAAAAGAGCAAGGACTCTGCTAATGACAAGCAATCTCTTCTAAAATGCTGAGGAGACAGATTTTAAAAACAACCCAGGAAGCATAATTCAATAGAAATACATTTATACAAATAATCTTCAGTAATGAATGTAAAAACTGAAAGGATTGCATGATAGTTTGATGCTGTATATGTAATATGCCAAAAAGCCTTAGATGAGGCATATTAAATTGCAGGAATAGGTTTTTCTGTAATAATGACTCAACTGCCAAAAAAAGCAGTGTGCCTGCTTTTGCTCTGTAAGAAACACTAATTTGGCCTAGTAGATTATAGGAAGATTATAGGGGTTAGGCTCCTCTCTTTTTTGTCAGCATATGGTCTGTTTTAATGGTGTTTTTGCCAGCAGGATCTATGTGTACATGGTAACTATTTTACACAAAGAAAGCATTCAGAAAAGATTGTGTAGCTGACAAAGATGCAAGCTGGGAAGTGCCATGCTGAAGATAGAACCATTGTGAAAATCACCCTAATGCATTTTACTTCTTGCCCTTCTCAGAAGGCTGCCAATGCTACTGAGTTGTTTCCTTGAAAGTAAAAGATATGCTGGTTTTATTTTATCTTTGTTTAGATAACTTTGATTTAACTATTGGTAGTTCTTCATTCTTTACTGGAGGGAATGGTGGGTGTTTGTGGCCTTGTGCTGGTGCTGGGCAAACAGTTCAGAGGTGTTGCAGCCTGCATGTACGCTCTGTTCTAGCAGAAGGCATACTTATCCTCACGCACAAGTGTAGCTTGGTGAGCATTGCAGTTGATAAGATATGCTGGATGTAGCTCTCAAAAGAGCTTCTGCTATCAGCATGGCTGCTGAAATGTGGCTCTTGGGTAGTTTCTGCCCTTTTGGCTGAGGAAAACGCAGTTGGTAGAGGTGTGCGAAAAACTCAATGTTTTGCCCTTGGTTGCGATCTTGCCAGATGGCATCTGTTGGTCCCCTGCTGTGACTGTTCTTTCTCTGCTTTGATTGCGCCCTCACAGGTGACAGCATGGGTGCCTTGCTGTTCCTCTCCCAGCCCCTTGTGTCAAGAAGCAGCAAAGCATGTTCTTGTTTGTCGTTTGCTGCAGGTGGAAGAGGGATGGAAGTGGCAATAAAGTTGCTCATCCAGTTACTGGCAAAAACATCTTACAGTTCGTAGCTATCAAGAGGAGAGACTGTGGGGAGTGGGCCATTCCAGGGGTAAGAGCAAAGCTCCAGAGACAGTAGACATTTCCCTGCTGGTAATGCCACAAGGCGATAACTGGTGTGCATGTGATAAAAGCGTGTTTTTGATGAATGACATTGTATTGCAGAGGTGAAATGGTCCTTAAAATAGCTTTGCCCCAGCATCTACTGGTATGCCTTCTACTGTTTCTGCATTTAATTCTGTATTTAACTCTGACCATGTCTTTTACTTAATACAGGCACAATTTAATCCGTTGCTGGTTTTGAAGGATGTGCATGCTTGCTCTTTACAACTAAGTGTAAAGTTTCTCCCGTGTCCAGAGTATGATGCAGTTGGATGTAATACACTTAAGAGTGAAAGGAGGGTAAAACCAAGCGGAATCTGAGGTAGAGTCACTTTTTTTTTTCCCCTCCTCTAAGGGGATGGTGGACCCAGGGGAGAAGATTAGCACTACCCTGAAGCGAGAATTTGAGGAGGAGGCCTTGAACTCCTTGCAGAAATCGCCTGAGGAGAAAGCAGAATTAGAGAAGCAACTTCACAAGCTCTTCAGCCAGGAACACTTTGTGGTGAGCTTTGTCTCTTGTGATAGCCTGTTGAGCTATGCATGTAATTTGCAGCTGTACGGAATTTGAAAAATGTAGCTGAAATGAAAATAAGCTGTGATGTACGGGTTGTCATGGTGTAGGAAATGGAAAGTACTATTGAAAACTTTGTAAGGGCAAGTATATCAGAAAGAAAAAAATCTTACTGATTCCACTTTATTTGTTGTGACACTGAGCTTGTTTTGGTTTGTTTGGGGCCTTAGGTGTACAGAGGATATGTGGATGACCCTCGTAACACTGATAATGCCTGGATGGAGACGGAGGCTGTGAACTATCATGATGAAACAGGTGGGTATCTCCATGTGTGGTCTTAGTTGCCTTCTATTCTAGATGTTGGTTTGAAATTGGGGCATATGTTGGGCTGAGATTGGCACTGAAATTGGGGGAACGTGCAAGTCAGGTGTAAAACATTGGACTAAAACCAATGGGTGTGAGAGTCTCTTGCCTCCTAAGATGTTCAGCCATGACAGGTAGTTGTTGTCCCCCTTCGGTTTATGCCAGTCTTGAAATAAGGAACGTATGGACTTTGCGTGAAAATTATTTATTTATTTGCTAGGTAGTTCTAAATTATGGACCATGTGCCTTCGTATGGAGATTGAACCTTGGACAAGGGTTTCTTCTTGTCACTGTATTTATCTTGAGTTGGTTTAATTTCCCTTTTTAATGAGTCTGGGGTGGAAGGATAGTCTGTTTCTTTTGTTATTTTTCCTTCAGTAGCTAGTGTGTGCTTCAGGAGTGTTGCCTCTGGGTGTTGGCAGATTTTCACTGCATTTATTGCTTTGGTGTTGTGATTGTTCTGAGACATTTTATCTTGGTTACTCTGCCAGAGTAATTCTTGGACCTTGTTTTAGTTCTATAAATCAGTAGGAATGAGCATACATTGCTAGCTCTTAGATTGATCTGTTATCTTGGATTCTCATCTCTTACCTTTTAAGATAAATCAGTCTAGTTAGATATCTCTGACTTGTTCAAACCAGAGATTTCATATAGTAACATTTCCACTGTGTTTTGGGTAGTGGATACCAGTGGTGAAGTTTCACATGTCAGTGGTCCTTGATTTATCAGCCCCCAGAAACAGTGAAGGTACTGTTCCTTTGGTCTTTCTTTCTAGTACACGTTTTGTAATGCTTTTAAAAACATTTCTTTGGTTGTTGTCTGTGAAGTCCTGGGACTCTTTTTGGAAACAGAGTAAGAAACTTTGGAGAGCAATTTAGAAGCCTTCCTGCATTCCCTCCTTAAGTACTGTTTTTTATTTTGGGCCTTTAGTAAAATTGTAATTGTTCTGGTTTTCCATAAGGATGTGTAAGTTTCAGAATTCAGTTTGTCCTGTAGAATAGTACCTGAGAAAGAAAACAGTTAAATGTTACCCAAACAAACAAAAATCAAGGTGGAGGGACTGGCTAAACTTGCAGTAGTGAGTACATATTGATGATTTCTAGTAACTTGTCATGCTGCTGTACCCTAGGAGCGGCGACAAGGAATTAATGCCACCTCTGCCACTCAGATTTGCCTTAAAATAGTGCAAAGTATGAAAAAGGTTACCGGCACAGAATCAGTGAGCAACTTAATTGGTTTCTCTCTGAGAAGCAATTGAAGGTTGCTGCCTGTGAAGGAGCCATGTGGAAGGGTGGAACTGATCAGATGTGAGAAGAAAAAACAGGAAAGAAGATGCAATAGCACGTCCTAACTCTTGTTCTGTGAACAGGTGAGACAATGGATAATTTGCCTCTGGAAGCAGGTGATGATGCTGGAATAGTGAAGTGGGTTGACATCAGTGAGAAGCTCAAGCTGTATGCAAGTCATAGCTACTTCATTAAGCTTGTGACTGAGAAACGGGGTGCCCACTGGAGTGAGGATCTTGGTCCTGAGTGCCGTGAGTGATGTAAATGAGGAACCGACGGATACCAAGGGGACAGTACGTTTTCCAGCTTTGAAACAGATTACGTTGTCCTTTTCAGTGGATATTCATTGAAAATTCCATGAAATTCAGCTGACAAAAACACTTGGCAGTGATAAATAGAGGCTTTTTCGGAGACTTAAGATTGCTTCTTTTGATTTCTCAGCTAGTGTGAAATAAGATTAATGTGGAGCTGTTACCTTGTTTTGCTTTCTTGTCTTCATTATTTGCAGCTGTTTCATCATATCTGCAGATTTACATGACAACACTGGGATTCTGACTGGTCATAGCAGAGGCTGTTCACTTTAGCTCTGTATTTTTGCACTGATTTCTTTTCAGGAGTATGAATTGTTAAGGGATGTGAGACTTGTAGGATAACCTGAATAATGACTTTAATTAAAGTGCTACATAATAAAGTGAAGTTTCTTTTCTGAGTCATTTCACTTAACATGTCTTTTAATTGATTTTCTATTTTCAGAGATTAGTTTTCACATTTAATTGCTTTCTAGTTTACAGTATGAATGGTATTCACATCTGAATGTCTGACAGTGCCTCTAAAAAGATAACTGTTGGAGGATGTAACTTGATGACTGATTTTGGGAGCTGGATTTCGAGGTTCTTCTCTACCCACTGCTTATGGCAGTAGAGCTATTGGGGAGACTGTGTCATAAACAGGATCACTGGAAAGAGCAGCCTCAAAGTATAATCTTGTAAATTGTGGGGGTTTTTTTACAGGTTAGGTAATGTGAGTAACTTGCAGTCAGGAGGCTGATGTGAACCTTCACTGGCATTTGCTGACATTTCTCCCTGTCTTTTTAATCAAGGGGTAATTGCTGTTAATCATGTAACAGTGTCAAGAGTGGGCAGTAGCAGCTAAAAGTTGTGGTTGAGACCTGGGGAGGAGTTCTTAATGAATTTTGAGCCATGTGTTGAAGTAGGGTGGTGATACATGTCATGGTCTGGAATTACCTTGTGTAACAGTACTGCAACATACTCATGCATTGTTAAGACTGTTAGCCAAATCCTACTTTTAATTAATGAAAGATTTTAGGGCTCGCTCCTTTTCAACATCACCCCTTCCTCCCAAGTAGCTAATGAAATCTGAAGGAGTCATGTGCATTTATATGGGGAACCCTGGAAATTTTGTAGACTTATTAGTAAGTTCCTTTCAAAGGAAAAAGTAATGATAAGAGTTAGTAATTTTTCTTTCAATCCTTGCTCACCTCTCCCTGCACATTTTATTTCTTCTGTGGCCTTACTAAAACAACATAAATGCTTTCTGTTGCAGCAGAAGCATCCATAGATTTGGTTTAAGCAAAAATCTTTCTTCAGATCATAGGTAAGATCTAGTGGTTGCCTGGGCAGAAATGATTTCGATTAATCTGTCCTCAGCATAGTATGGAGACTGGGTAATATCTGGTAGGGCCAGATCAAAATCTGAGAGAACATGTGAAACTCAAAGTGGACGAAAGGTATAGCCAGCTTCAGCAGTTCCCTTCCTTTCCTACTCCGGGTTTTTGGAAACAGGATCACTGAAATGCCTTTTCTTAAGAAAAGATAAAGACAACTAAGAAATTTGATGCTTAGCATTTATTCAAGCTTAACAAGTAATCAGACAAGGTTTGAGAGCTGTGCACTGTAACCCACACCAGCTTCAGAGGCGGGCGTGTGAAACAAGGCTTGGTTGGTACTTATCCTCAGTTTCCAGTGCACTGGTGAGGCAAAAGGTGGGAAGGAGCTATAGGAAGTTGAAGATTATCTAGAAGCAACAATGTTCCATAGGACACATCCATAGTTTTCCAGGTATCTGTGGAATAAGAAGAGAATGGCAGGTTAGAATTAATAACAGTTAATTACTTTATTGAGCAATTCATACATTATGCAGAGTAGTTGGGTTTTGAAAGCATGACCACAAGAGGAGACCCTTCTTAATTTCATGGGAGATGAATGTGCAGCTCATCATGGCTGAGAACAAGGGTGACTATACTGTGGCATGTCAAAATAGTGGGATTTTTTTCTTGAATGTTACTGTTTACATATGAAGCACTCAACATAATGTACAGTACTAAAGATGAAAGCAGGAGAAAATAATTTCAATTCTGAAAGTACCATATTGAATGAGATAGAAAAACTGCAGTTTCCATAGCCAGTGTTTTATTCCTGGAAAGCAACATTTCTGTAAAGAATCTTTTCAGTCCTCACTAGTCTTGTGTTAAAGCTTTTTTTTTTGACAGGCTAAGTGGACTTGGCTATAGGTTTTTTGATTGTCATGTTTCCAGGAGAGCTTTCTGGTTAGACAATTTCTAGTTGGAGTGTGTGATCTTAGACGGTGTGCTGTACAGAACGCAATTACTTTATGCGTATCCCAGTACCTTACTAATCATATCTTGATGCTTACTTGTGTCCTGAAATCTATTGCATAATTACAATTTTGCAAATTTATAAGTAAGCAAATGTAGTGGCATTTCTTTTCGTTTGGCAAGTCTTCTGGAAAATGATCAACTTCTTTATATGGGTAATACAAGTTAGATGTGTTGGAAGGTGTTATTTTTCAGCCCTATGTGTTGTGTCTCTAACTTATCCTAAACTACTTTTTTTAAATATCAGAGAGTTCATCCATCTCCAAGGACTGGGATACCTAAACAAATACTCAAAGAATATCTAAGGAACAGCAGCAGAATTTTGAGAAACTTTGTAACATCTTTTCAAGCTGAAGAAATAAGAGTTTTTACCCCATAGAATACAGTCTGCTAATTAGAAAACAAAGTGGATTACTCTTTTTGAGCTTCAAAGATAAATCCTCAGCTCCCTTCTACGGTAGTTTGTCTGTGTTGGGTTTGCGTGGCAAAGTTTTGG